AGAGTCATCGGTAAAGCACGCGGGGGCTCTGTGGGGAGCTTGACGGAGAGATTCTCCGAGTTCGACTTGGCTCTGATGCCCCTCAAACGATACTCCGAGGGATACGAGCGGGCCGACGACACGGAAGGAAGAGGCTCTCAATAATTCCATTTTGAACACCTAGTACACTGCAATTGAGAGGACGAGGGACAGAGCTTCGGGATATCCGAGTTGAGACGGCTATATCAGCGCCGACACCCCGTACATCTACAGCATGGTTTCTATGTGACTTCCAGTCGGTTCAATTGTCTTGCCGATACGGAGTGGTCTGAACACCTTCTTAGTACGAACATGCTCCACCAGGATCAGAAGCGAACGAACGCCTAACGGCACATGGAATATGGCGCTGCTGATACCAGTCCAATCACCAATCGTGTATGTGCAATTACTACCCACGGGAGGGCGGACGCTTGTGCAGCTAGCACCCCCGCACTCCCGGAGGTCGGGCGGCAATGCCGGTGGGGGTTAGCCTTTTCATCCCAAAACCTGGGGCAACGCGAAGTTGCTAGGACGGTAAACTGTAAATCAGCGACACCGACCTTGACGCCGAATGGCGGGAAATCCGACGTTCTTTTGAGTGCCCATCACGGAGTCGGGGTATCTTGAAGATGACGGGAAACATCGCAATAAATACAAATTTGGACGAATTCTTCCCCGTTGATCCGTAAGTTTATGTCGGTGACTTGTCTCGAGACTAGACAAGTTTAGAGCATTCGCACCATTACCGTGAACATGGGCTACCTCGTTATCAACGCCATACAGGCCATCTCATCCCGCATCGTGAACGCTGTAACGTCCAACCCGACAGTTTTCCTGATCTACGCCATTCTCACGACGACATTGGCCCTATTCCTCTGGACGAAAACAAGGAGACGGACAAACGGCCTACCTTTGCCGCCTCAACCGCCCTCGAAGCCTATTCTGGGCCACCTGACGGATTTAATCAGGGAGAATCAAGCGCGGCGATGGCATTTGAAGTTGGAAGGTTGGGCAAGAGAGTATGGTGCTATATTCGGAGTAAGGACTGGGTATATTGTTGATTACTACATCAACTCTGATGTTTTGGTCAAGGTAAGCTTGTCGCAATTGTGGGCTGGCCGTAGAATTGCGAGAGTAGCGAGGGTCTCGATTTCAGTGATGATGGTATAAGAAGTCCCGGAGTTCTGACGTTGGAGACAGGAGCTTTTTGATAAAAAGTCTGCGGTGACGGCGGATCGACCCGTGTGGATCATGTCGAATGAAATTTTGAACAATGGGTTTAACACTTTGTTCTTGGACGCGAGTGATCCAACATGGAAGGTATAGTACGTTGCAATCTCTGGTTGAACGATGCTGACTGAAACGCCTGATACCTACAGAATCAGAGGAAGGTCATTCAGCAGCTTCTCACAAGTCCACAGCAAGCGGGAAAGATTGTGCCGTAAGCTATCCTTGCCTCCTTTCACGTGCTTCTTGAATCGTCTATGGATCTAGCAATCTGATGTCATGCTAGGTTTCTGGAATACGAGACAATGCGGTTCCTTCACGATAATGTCCTTGAACCATCAGGCGGACTTTCGGGGCTTCAGCTCTTGAGAGGTATTGAGCGGTATACGTATAGCGCATTCGCGATGGTTATCATGGGCATGGATGTGAGATATCGCCCCAACCTTGTGTTGTGACGGGGCAGGTGATGACTGGAGCATGGTTTAGGTGCCTGACGCAGATGACTCGGTCATTGACTTTCTTCAAGGTGTGTGAAGATCCCTGTCGGGCCTTCTTTGGTGCTCAAAAGGTTTGCTGACGATATTGACTACAGAATCGGAATACCAGATCATAAGTACGACCATCATCTCTGAGGACCGCGGCGAATGCCATGGGTTCGGATAAACTGACAATGAGCGGTAGATACCTTCCCTGGCACCAACATTATCGATCTCGCCCCTTCTTTGGGGAAGTTGCCCCTCTTCCTCAAGCCCTGGGAGAGAAATGGACGCGCAAGATACAGACGCGACCTCTCATGGGGGATGCAACGAGTCAAGGTGAAACTAAACACATCTTACCTATGAAGGCATGCTCTGAGAACACTATTGACCACTGGTTCGGTTGCAGATTGTCGAAGAGGCAATAGCAAGAGGAGATTCCTCATTCGAAGGGACTTTCTTGGGTTCTGCTTTGGCTGATGAGAATCTCAAGGGTATGTCTTGTAAGGAGGAGCTTGCGATTTTGAGCTCTGCTTTGATTGTTGCTTCTGCGGATACTGTGAGTAACTTCCCTTTACTTCACTGCCGAATGCGTTTGACAGCTGACGCAAATTGCTAGAGCCGAATGACGACATGGTCGTTCGTCGAGGCCATGTTGCAGTTTCCCGAAGCTCAAGCCCGAGCACAAGCTGAAATTGGTATGTTAAGAACATCGATCCTAGCAGTCTTAACCCCAACCTGGTCGCTCTCCACGCAACCACGACCGCTAACCAGCTGATGTTTTCTAGATAAGGCCGTTGGTGACAGACCACCAACATACGAAGACTACGCGCGAATTCCATACATCCGCATGCTCCTCAAGGAAGTATGGCGGTGGAGGCCGCCGGTGGCGCTGGGACATCCTCACATCACCTCACGCGAGGTGGAGGTTGGGGGATACAGGCTTCCCAAGGGGGCACGAATTCACCTTAACGCATAGTAAGGCCGAGTTTCCTTGTCGTGAGATTGGAATCTTGTCGCTGACTATGGGGTAAAGTGCGATTAGTCGAGATCCCGCGAGACACGAAGATCCTGATCGGTTTTGGCCAGAGAGGTTTGAGGATGACGGGACCACTGTGAGTACCTCAATGCGAATCTCGAGGTCAAGCCAGAACTGACACGACTTTCTAGACGATGGAAAGCATCAACGCGCAGGACCCGACAAAGAGAGACCACTTTGCCTTCGGCGCCGGTCGTCGCGTTTGTACGTCACAATATCTTGGCAACTCCGCCATGTACCTATCCTACCTGACTATAAAAAGATTCATCGCTAACATCTATTGCGTGTGAAAAGGTCCCGGGTACACCGTCGCAGAACGTTCCGCCGTCGTAACAATGATGCGTATCCTCTGGGCATTCAAAATCTTGCCTGCCGAGGGAGCCAAGACGCCGTTAGAATTTGCTGATTACGCTGATTCATTGCCTGGGAACCCGGGAAAGAATATGCCTGTGAGATTCCAATGCCGGAGTGAGGAGAGGAAGCGTGTGATTCTCAAGGCTTTCGAGGAGATGGAGAGTGGAAGGGGCAAGAAGGTGAGTTTTCTAAGCCTATGTCCTCGCTGGTAGTTCTTGGGGGAAGGGCGCGGGCTGACTTGATTACCTTTAGGTGGCATTAAACTTGGGCGATTCATCGGTTCCTGATATTTCTGCTTTTCTTTGATTTCTGGAGAAAGGATGAATCCAACGGATTATGAGCGCACTGAGACGGGCGGGAGAGTCGTTGCACAGGCAGAAATAATGTCTCTTCGACTGTCTACGGATGACGGGATAGAGGTGTAGTGACAACATCTTCATTTTGTACCTAGGAGAACAAGACCATTCCAAAACTGCCTATTCACATTATCTGCAACAAGTATTACATACTTTAGTTCCTCAGTTAAGTACCTCGATCGGCTCCTCCAACCGGACAAGGTGAAAATCTCCATAGCAGCTCCTGTCCTCCCCTTCATGACCGGCGTCACCGCTGACTCCGCGTCTGACGGCGCCCTCCTCGCCCAGCGCCAGATCTACCCCGCCTGCGCGCCATGCAACAACGGGCGCGAGCCTCTTTTCCCTATCGAAGCGAACTGGAGCGGGTACGCTCTTCGCTGCAACAACTTTGGACCCATCCCTCCTGTACGAGGACCCTTCTTCAGTATAAAAATGTCTAATGCGCATGACTGACCATATGAAAGCCGTACACTGGCTGTTGCGATAGAAATGGCGTGAACACTGGCAGCGGATGCCTTGCATGCGTGGTTATCAGTTACATAGTCTGGGTCATCACGGTTGTTTGGCGAGATTCATACTCTCTGTAGGAGCTTGACGGTCATCGGTTGGTGGTAGTACCTTGATAGCGACAATACGTGCGGTCGTTGGGGCCGGATCAAAGAGCCAATGCGGCTTACAAATAAGAATCCGAATTCAGCCTATGTGTATATGCCGATACGTCGGTTTGATCATCGGGCCAAATGAGCCCTCACCATTCAGCAAAGTCTCCGAGTTCTGGCTACCTGCACCGGCCAAGCCCGGATCCGGATCGTTTGCTGGAAAACACCAACTGCCAGGCGGAGTGGGCTCGGACTATTGCTGCAGCGACCGTAAATCGAAACGGGATGGCTGACCGGACGGATTTCAAGATCCTCGTGGCACCAAATCCTGGCTGGGGGGTTTTGACTCGTAATCAATCTCTCGCAGTTATGCAGCTAGTCGAATCCTCCCGAATTCAAAACCAACAAACGGCTAATAAATAAAACAGCCAGCGCACTAGGTAAGCATGCCAAAGTAAGCTGAATGACCAGATAGCTTGGTAGAGAACAGGGCAAGTATGCCCGAGTCGTAAGTTCCACTCTGTTGGGACCAATCGTTGGCGTGTGAACGGAAATTTGATGTGGTGTGAAGGGTTAGGTATTACCAAAGTCTCCTCGGGGTTAGTGTGAACCCCGGATGTGCAGCGATTGCGCTATTGTCAGCCTTACACCGTGACCCGGGTTAAGCGAGTCTGGACACCCGAGAGCGGGTTAGTACCAGAAAATGCCGGCTGGCGTTTGCTTGTTGTTGACACGACGGGGTTAAGGATGGGTGTAGGGAGTTACGAGACGGAGTTCAGATGCGGGCTAAGGGTTTCTTAAATGCGTGCGCATCACCGTATCTTGATGTTTTTGAAGTTAATGTTACCTGCTACATAAGTTGTGCCAAGGTTCATCCATACTATTTCCTTGATGCCCAGACATTTCACCAGATCTTTTCCAGATCTTGAACATGGACCGGCCTACTTCACGAAGCTCCAGGGAGCTCACCAAGACCCGCTTCACATCACCGGCATCGGCCATGACACAACCATCGACGACTCCTATCGTTCTCGATATGTCGGAAAAGCCACTGCCACCATCAAACGACTCGGATATTGAGCATACCGATAAGAAGGAAAGCGGTACCGAAGATGAGGGAAGCACGGCGGCGGACCAAGAGGAAGCCGAGGAGGAGTACATCGAGGGCCTCAAGCTCATCCTTGTCCTAGCGGCACTAACGCTCACTGTGTTTCTCATGATGCTGGACATGTCTATCATCACTACGGTACCGTTGTCAAGTGATGCATGTGACGAGGTGCTCATGGCAAGTCTGACACTGGGTCTAGGCCGTTCCGGAGATCACAACAGCGTTCAACTCTCTTTCTGACGTTGGATGGTATGGTGCAGCATACAGTCTCTGTGGGTATGTCAACTCTATGCCTCTTACACGGGGGAATCTCCGAGCCAAGTGCTCTTCGAATTACCAAAGCTGACATGCATTTCAAAATAGTGCCGCCCTGCAGCCCTTGGCCGGCAAGCTTTACACGCACCGTCATTCGAAAGAAATTTTCCTTGCCTTCCTCTTCGTCTTCGAGGCCGGATCTCTTATCTGCGCCCTCTCTAATTCATCAACACTGTTCATCATCGGACGGGCTGTCTCAGGCATGGGATCAGGGGGACTTTTCAATGGTTCATTGACTATCATCGGCGCCACCGTCCCATTGGAAAAGAGACCGTTGATAATTGGGATCATGATCGGTATTTCGAACATTGGCATTGTCGCTGGACCTCTTGTGGGAGGAGCCTTGACCCAGTACACGACCTGGCGTTGGTGTAAGTTGACTCATTTCTCAGCTGAGTTATCTTTCCCCGGTAGTTGCGCTGCAATTTGTGGATGGGAACAATGCTAACTTTCCGCACAGGTTTCTACATCAACCTTCCAATTGGTGCAGTCACCGCAGCTATGCTTTTCCTTATCCACATCCCGTCGAAGATCACCAAGCCAGTCTCCCTCGTCCAAATACCCCGATATCTCGATCTTCCCGGTTTCGCCCTCTTCGCTCCCGCGGCTATCATGTTCCTTCTCGCTCTACAGTTCGGTGGCAATGACTATAGCTGGGACTCATCTGTAGTTATCGGCTTGTTCGTCGGCGCTGCCGTGACCGCTGGGCTATTCATCTTCTGGGAGCACAGAGAAGGTGACGAAAAAGCCATGGTCCCAATGGGACTGTTCAAGAATAGGATCGTCTTGACGAGCAGTCTGGTTGGAGCCCTGAACATGAGCATTACACAGGTGTCAAGCTACTACATCCCCATGTATTTCCAGAGCGTCAAGGGTGAGACGCCGTTCCGGGGTGGTGTTCACTTCTTGCCGACTATCATTGCCCAGTTGGTCTTTGCTGTCGCCTCAGGGGCTTTAGGTAAGTTGACGGCTGTTGCGTCCTTGGAATCCGACTATGGAATAATGGAGATACTAATCCTTCATAGTTGGTAGGATGGGATACTACCTTCCCTGGGCTGTATTTGGTTCCGTCTTATCGGCGATCGGTAACGGCCTCATTTCTACCTGGGATCCATCTACAGATTCTGCCAAGTGGATTGGCTATCAAGTCCTCCTCGGCGCCGGCCGTGGTGCCTGTATGCAAATGGTGAGATATGCTGTCATGCGCCTTGGAAAGGCTAAGCTAATATTCACGCTTCTCCAGCACATCATCGCCGTCCAAGCCAATATACCGCCAGCGACCCTTTCCGTATCGATGGCAATGCTTGTCTTCATGCAAACGTTTGGCGGTGCCATTTTCCTGACAGCAGGCGAAGTCATTTTCAGCGAAGGTCTGGGCAAGAACTTGGCAAAGTACGCGCCGGCAGTAGATGTGAAGACAGTACTGGCTGCGGGCGGCACAGGGTTTAGGACCGTTGTACCGGAGAGCGATTTGCCTGGGGTGTTGGTGGCATATTCGAAGAGTATCGGTGAGGTGTTTTACCTCATGATCGGAATCGGTGGTCTCGCGTTTGTGCTCTCGTGGGGTATGGGTTGGGTCGATATCCGTAAGAAGAAGGGGGAAAAGAAGGGCGAAGTCTGAAGGGCCTTGGCAATGGAAACGAGACTCGACACTATATGGGGTGACGAGATGTAATGATTGTAATGGTATACCCAACTCACAAGTGATAAGTATCAGTCTATAGATATCTAGACAACGATTTTAGAGGTTCAATGTTCAAAACGTCGTGCATCCTCTTCCGCGTCATGTTTCACTCGGTGGAATTGCCCGGTGTTGGACCCTCGGGCGACGGCAGACTCGGCCTCCAGGTGTGGATCCCGGATCGGGCTTTTGCACCTGGCGGCCCCGGGGAATAGCACTAAAGTCCTCTCCTGAGTATGCTCTACTCTCTCGTCCGTGGTTATGTCAGACAGAAATGCTCGAACCCGAATACGATGCTGGTGCAATCTCGCTTGGCTGCTTATGCTAATCCTGTGGCCAATAGAATGTAAGTTTGCTTAGTACTTGGCGGATGTCTCTGTGCGAACAAGAGCTGAAAATCGCACGACGCGGATGGCAACTCTCCCGGCTGTGGCAGAGTGGATCGCGAGGCGTAGGAATTTTGGATCATGAATCCTTCAACTAACATCCATAAAGCTCACGAACTTCCCTTCAGTGTAGGTGATTTCGACCAAAAAACAGAACTAAGGGCAAAGAACAAAACTGGAAGATTCCCACCATGCCTGCAGAAATCGTCATGAACGCCACTATCCCGGCCCACCCCTACTTCCCTGCGGAGGCTGTACTACCAGGCTACGTTGCCAACACGTTTGGCGCGCATGCTTTGCGTGGCATGTTTGCCGCAGGGGCAACCGCCATCCTCATACCGACATACCGCATCATCAAAAGAACAAGCCCGAATCTTCCTAATGGCGAGGTCGCCACGGCACTGTGGTTCACTCTAAGCGCCTTTATCCATCTCTTCTTCGAAGGTCAGTCATCCATGCTCGACCCCCTAGCTGTAACCTAGACCGTCGTGTGAACCATCTCGACTAACACCCGATCAGGCTACTTCTCATACAATCAATCAAGCATGCCAGCATCCCTACACATATTCGGCCAGCTCTGGAAAGAATACTCCCTCTCCGACTCCCGCTACCTGACCCAGGACTCCTTCATCGTCTGCATGGAGACCATCACCGCATTCTGCTGGGGTCCGCTGTCCTTCGTGTGCGCATACTTCATTGTCATCGGGCATCCCCTCCGCCACCCACTGCAGATCATCATAAGTCTTGGGCAGCTCTACGGCGATGTCTTGTACTTTGCGACGTGCTCCTTTGACAAGCTCGTTGCCAAAATGATTTACTGCCGACCTGAAGACTTTTACTTTTGGTGTTATTACGTCTTCTTCAATGCCTTTTGGATCATTATTCCTTTCTATCTCATTATCAAGAGCTGCGCGGAGACGAGGCGGGTCTTTGCAAAGGTTGCTCAGTTGGAGAAGAGCTCTTTGAAAAAGGACATGTGATCCCTGTCCGGCGGGAACTGCCTTGGCACTTTTGCAACAGCGCCGGAAGCTGAGATTACATGAGCTGATCGCATCTTTGACTGGATTTAATGTTCATCGAAGCAATACCTCATCAATGCGTCCAAAGAACTTCGTACTTAAAATAGAGAAGGCGAACATGGTTGTTGGCATCGGAAAGCCGCCTGCCGTTACCAGGAAAGTTGTACCAATACACCTAGCAGGTCGAGATAAAAGTTCAGACAACACCGGAATTGACTGGTTCTAATGATAAAAATTACTATTTCTCTATGATTATATCTATGTACTCATGTTCTCATAATTCAGTGTCATGTCTCTTCCCATCTAAGGCGCGAACTTGAACAGCGTCTCGAGCTGCGAGGAGCTGTAGCCAGAGTAAAGCGCAAGCTGCAACAGGATGCGCGACTTCTGGGGGTTCAAGTTCCAGCCACCATACGTGTTAAGGGCATCGTCATCCTCGACAAATCCACCCATGGTTCTGCTAGAGACAACAATCTGCGTGCCATTCTCCTGCGCCAGGGTCTTAAGCGCGTTACGGCCGGGCGTAGTCCACCCACCGGCACCCATACCAGCAAGAACGAGACCCTTGGCGCCGCTGGCTACGGCGGCGGTAGCGAGGGCAGGGTTAAGAGCCTGGTGGCCGAAGAGGATGTCAACCTCGGGAAGCGCGGAGGCCTCGGTGACGTTGAAGTAGGCGCGGCCGAGGGGCAGGACCGGAGGGTAGTAGAAGACGGGCTTGATGTCGAGGAAGAAGCCAAGGTAGCCCTGCTCGACGGCCTTGAAGGTGTCGAGGGAGTTGGAGTGGGTCTTTGTGGTGTAGTAGGCGCTGCCGATGCGGTCGTTAAGGACGATCATGGTACCGCGGCCTGCGGCGGCGGGGCTGCCGGCGAGGGTGACGGCCTCCAGGAGGTTGATGGGGCCGTCGGCGCTGATGGCGGTGGCGGGTCTCATTGCGCCCACCACGACGACGGGCTTCTCGCTCTTGATGGTAGCGTCAAGGAAGAAGGCGGACTCCTCCATGGTATCGGTGCCGTGGGTGATGACGGCGCCCTGGCAGTAGGGGTCATCGAGGGCCTCTTGCACGAGGCGGGTGAGGTTGAGGAGGATGCCGGGGGTGATGCTGCCCGAGTCCACGTTGGCGACCTGCACGCCCTTGACGTTGGAAACGTTCCACAGCTCCGGGACGGCGGCGATGAGGATGTCGACGCCGAGAGCGCCGGCTTGGTAGCCTGTGGTCTGGGCATTTGAGGACGCTGAACCTGCGATGGTGCCGCCCGTGGCGAAGATTGTGATGTTGGGCAGGCTGGCGTTGTAGTGCGTCTCGCGGGTAGAGAGAAGGTTGTATGCCGGGAGCGGGGCCGGGGCCGCGAGGCCGAGAGCCAGCTGAGAAGCTGCGAGGAGGAGGTTGCGAGTCTGCATCTTGGCTGATTGTCGTGCTGATGGAAAGTCGCCGAAGTTGCGAGTGGCTTCCTAGAGGACAATGGGGGCTATGAGGAGAGGGAGATGCTCTGAACTGCTCTGCTGGCTGGTCAAAGAACGAAACTTGGCGGCATGTTTACTTCGTCTTATATAGCGGTCCTTGCAGTGAATACGACTTATCGCGAGAATACATGACTGTAGCCAAGGCGATAAGAAACAATTCGAATTCCCATGGATTCCGGTGTCAATATCCGGCTTGTGGGAAAAATCACTCGCCCGACCCTTCCATGCCCACGCTAGAAACCATGGAAGATGTCCCAATTGACCAATACTCTGGAGAATCATCATCGACCTTATCTCGACGGCTTGGGTCCTATCACACGTGGGTTTGGGCTCCGAATGCGCTCGAGGCTAAGGCAGGCGAACGCTGGTTCCGTGCTCTCGGGTTTTCTCTTATCAGCTCGGCAAAAAAGTGACCAGTGCCGTCGTCGGCAGAGCCATACCGACCTAGTGGTTAAGTCCTGGGATGGTCTCCATCTTGGGCCGCTTTGGTGTGTGGGCTCTCGAGTCTCCCCCGTATTCAATGTTTGTCAGCCTGTGTTGGGATGTGAATGGACGAGGAAAGGCCTTATCTGATACTTATCTTGATAGCTGGAGGAGATCAACTGGTCTGGGCAGAATAAGATTACGGCATAGCAACAGACCCCAACCCGGGGAATTGGCTAGTTCATGCTTATTGCTGCGGTTTATTGCAGCATTGCATGGCGGCCCCGGATCATTCTATGGGGTTGACATGTCTCTGCGGGGCCCGACGGGGCCCAAAGGCGTAAAAATGACTCGTCGGCTGGCTGGGGGTTCCTCGGATTCGTTTGATAACGGACGGGAAACATTCCCAGCCCCCCGGCCCAAGGTTCCGGTTCCGGCGATCCGCTCCATTAACAACGATATCGAACCAATTTACTCAAAGGTTTGACATGCATAACAGACGTACATAGTACGTTGGCAATCATACAGCGGGAACATGAGCTACGGTATGAATCAATGGGAGCCAAGGTGTGCCTCTTTCGGATAGGTAGCCGATTTCTTTGGGGCTTGGGTGCTTTGCTTGGAATGTCCCGATCTGGCACGATTGACTAAGACTCTCAATTCCAATGACAACTATCATTCGTGTTTACGGCATCCCACTGCTAGACTGTAGTTGAGCCTTTGTGTGGCTGTACTCATATGAGGGAAGGTCCAAGGAGCCAGCGGCAGCTAAACGCGCACTACATATTAGCCGCATGTACACAAAGCATCTGCCAAAAAGTCAAAATATTCTGCAGTTAAGATGTCATCTGTTTGTCATATTGATGACCATGGTCTCTTGGATCGATATAATTGAGGGGTATTTCGGACATACTCCAGCTTGAATATTGCTGGTGCACATAAGCAGGAGAAGTGGACCATCGTGAGCATATGTAGACTGCATCCGGACTCGAATTGAACAGCTTGTAGTCAATTCAGCAATGCATGCAATCACAATTTTCTCAAGAGTGTTTCTTATCTATTGATAAGCCTTCACATTCCATAATTGTAGAGCAGACGACCGGGAACGTATTATTTCACTTGCCTGACCTAGGCTGTAGCTTGATTGTTGTCTAAGGTTTTATCAGAGAAATTCTCTGTTGCACTTTATATCTTCTCCTTCCCCGATTTTTTCTCATCAACACCGTTACTTGCCTGATGCCAGGAACGCTTTACTATTATACCCCAAGGCACGCTTCCATCACTCAAGGCGGGCGTGCTCGTTCGCAAAAGTTTGACAAAGTGAACTTGGGGATACGCGATTCCCAGACTGTGAGTTTTGATGTTATACGAGAATTGAAAAGGCGCCGAGTAGCGAGAGCGAGCGTGAGGCAATCTCAGAACAAATGAGAGAAGCTGGTTTTTACTACTGACTGAATCGGAACTTCCGAACTGCTGGTCAATTGTGACCTCGTTCGTTTCAATATCCCTGGAATGATCTGCCCTTTGCGCGGTATCTCCTTCTATCTGATTCGGGACACGATGAGAGAAATGATTGGCAAGTACTAAATGAAGAATGAAGAAGGTTGACATAAAGTTGGTTCTGTCAGCTTAGCGGCTCTCAACTCCAACTAGACTGTTCGTGCTTAGCAGCATTGAAGCTTCGGTTCTGGTCAGCTCTAATTGACACTCCCGGTCTTGCAATAGGCAATCATCATTTCATTAGAGAACTCAGATAGATAAGACCAAACTTAACATTGCAGCAACAATCTCACCCCGCAATTTGAAAATCGCATTGAATGAGTTTGTGGACGTCAGAGGGGTTTGCTACTTGTCCTTGCATGAATGATGCTTTAGCTTGTACGACCAAACCGCTGTTCAAGTAAGAAAGGCGCTACGGGCAAAATCATTGTTCTCAAAGCTACTTGTGCAGCTCTCTGGCAGTGAAGAAGTCAAGTCACTCATTCTGACGCATCAACAATCCAAGCTGTAGAGTACTCAACCTTGAGGCACCCTAGCCTGTGTGACCACGCCGTCTCTCAGTGCCTGCAAGGGTTTTTTTCGCTCAGATGTTTCCTTTCTTCCGCCATGACATTGCGAAGTTCAACAAATTCTGGCCTTGGCCTTCTCGTCAGGTGGCCCGTATCGGGCTTCTCGAGGCACGATCTCCTCACGTGGGTAAATCAAAACTCAAAAGTTAGGATTCGTGTGTTTGCATTCTGGCTTCCAATCTCATATGCGGCGTATCAAGCGTGAAGTGGTTTACTCACCTAATTTGTACACCGTGATCTCACCCTTCTACACCTCACTTCACCTACGACTTCTCGTTGGGCTATCTAGTTGAGTCGCAATATCAACTTCGGGAAGGCACGACTCACATACCGTCCAGGGCCAGCTCCTTCCTCCCTCGATGTAGACGTATATTCATCTGAAAATCTTTACGTTCACCGCTCTCTCACCGCTTTAGTTACCCAAAAAGGAAATAGAAGCAAGCAAGTCCCGTGATCTCCCTCTTCGTCGCCGGGCTACACGAGTATCTCTCCTCAGCCTCCCACCACGCAGCCCTGATTTTTGTTTTCTCCCCCCACAAACCAGAACAAAGAAGCACTTCACCGTCAGTGCCTCCTTGGACGAAGATTCCCTTCTCACTCCCTCACTCTTCCTCCCTCATCGACTCCTCATCTGGCTCTCTCTTTCTCTCCCTTTCCTAAAATCCCAATCATTAATCATTGTGCGACTTGGCTTCCTTCAAATTTCCTTACGCAAAGCACAAGTACAAGCTCTAGACTAGAGACACCGTCTCGCGTCCCTAGTCTCACGATGCGAATAATTCTCGCGCCAGTCCTTGCCTTTGCGGCGGTGGCTCTCTCGCGCGCCGTCCCCGAGCATACTGCTTCTGAGCATATTATACTCGAGCAGACCCGCGCTGAGGTTCCTGCTCCTGTCGTGGAGTACAGCACCATCGCTTACAAGGCAGCTAACGGCTCTGATGTCGTGATCCACGTCGCTCCTGGCGTGTTCATGGCTGACGACGTCTCGAAGCTCCCCGACGATATTGG